TGTCTCTTATCCCAAGAGAAGATATAGATAGCTCTTATTTTACCTTTCTTCTCAAAACAACTGGGGTGATGAGCTCAGGAGAATAAGGAATTGTTGAGACGTTGACTAAATCTAGAAAAATGTCGGCAGTCTAAAGGGCAAACCAGAGGGGAGGAAAAGGACCACAAAGGAGAAATCTGATTCTTCCTTCTCCTGAATCTTACCGTAGAACTCCATTCCCTTCCTCAATCAACCTTCCTTCCTTTCTTTCTTTTTGCAATTTTTCCCCTTCTTCAGTCTTCCTACAGAATTTTATAACTCCCTTAAAAATATACTCACTGAAAGTAAAGATAGCATTTCTAACTTTGTTGATGCAATTTGTCATAATTTGCCTATGATAACAGGTCATATATACAATACAGTTTTAGTTCATATAGAATTTATTTAATTAGATCATTCTTTATCTTTTCTGTTAAGAGAAATGGGTTCAAATCTTTGGGTACATGAAAGTCTTAATCCCTTCCCCCAAGTCTATTTCTTGTGATAGGAACCCAAGAGAGGGAGGGCTTGGAATGTCTTTTATCTACTGCTCTGATTCTGTATTGTTTTGTTTCCTTTTTTAAAAGTTTTACTTATTGTTATTGAAAAGATAGGTTTACAGAGAAGGAGAGACAAATAAAGATTTCCCATCTGCTGGTTCATTCCACAAGCAATCACAACAGCTGGAGCTGATCCTGTCCAAACCCAGGAGCTTCTTCCAGATTTCCCATTTGGGTGCAGGGTCCTAAGGTTTTGGGCTATCCTCTATTGCTTTCCCAGGCTATAAGCAGGGAGCTGGATGGGAAGCGGGGCAGCCAATATATGAACTGGAGCCCATATGGGATGTTGGCACTTGAAGGCAGAGTATTACCAATTGAGCTGTTACTCTGGCCCCTCCTATTTCTTTTAAGATATGTTTTTTTTTTTTCCCCAGAATTGGGAAGAAGAAATAGAAAGTTTGGGACCAATGATCCGACCCATTTCTCCCTAACCATAGATCCTTTCCACCCTGATTAACTATGTAAACATCATCTAAAATAATAAAAAAAAGTTAAAATATGTTTTTGCCAGTTTTCATGAAATTGGGAGTTATAAGAAACATTTCTGAATGAATAGGTTTTTGTTTTTGGAGCAGGAGGATAAGAAATTGGATTGGATAATTCCTGAACCTTTTTTTTTTTTTAAAGACTATTTATTTTAAATTTTACTGGAAAGGCATTTACAGCAAGAAGGAAAGAGAGAGAGTGAACTTCCATCTGCTGGTTTATTCCCCAAGTGCCTGCAACAGCTGCAGCTGAGCTGATCAGAAGCCGGGAGCCTCTTCCGGGTTTCCTAATAGGGTGCAGGGTCTCAAGGCTTTGGGCTCTCCTCTACTGGCTTCCCAGACCACAAGCAGGAAACTGGTTTAAAAGTGGAGCAGCCAGGACATGAACTGGCGCCCGTAAAGGATCCCAGCAGATGCAAGGTGAGGATTCATGCACTAGGCTACCATGCTGGGTCCATTCCTTAACCTTCTTATCTGATACGTTCCAGGTATGCAGTGTAGTTTGTTTGGACCTAGTATAATATTTTTTGCTGTAACTAAGACACTGACTGTTAGAAGTGTTCACTTCAGATCTTCAAATCTGGGCTATATGATTCCCAGAGGGATCTATACTGAGAGACAGTGGAGGAATTAAGTGATGTGGAGCTAACATCTATGGAGTGTTTACCTAGTGCCAAGATCTTCCCTCAAGCATTATATGCATTGTGTTGCTTTATTTAACTAGAATTTTAGGAAATTACTACATTTTACAATTGAACAAACTAATGTTCAAACATGTGGGACAATTATTCCAGTGTTGGTTTGTAAATGACAGGATGGGGGGGGGCAGAACTTGGGTCTGGTTCTAGAGGCTAATGAGTTAGATGTTATCTCCATTTTGTCTATGCGTAAATGAAATGTTCTAAAAGTCATAGAAATAGTAACCAAAGTGTTGGGATTTTGAATCAGATGTGCCTTCCTCTAAACGCCCTGGTTTGGGGATGGTAGTTGTTGCATACTGGGTGAGGCTCCTATGGGGATTCTTGACATCCTACTTTGAAGTGTTAGTTGCTTCCCATCCAGCTTCCTGATCATGCACCTGGAAAGGCAGCGGATGACGAACCAGGCGCTTGGATCCCTGCCACCCACATGGGAGATCTGGATGGAGTTTTGGGTTCCTGGCTTTAGTCTGGCCCAGCACAACTGTTGTTGTCAATTTGGGGTATGAACCAGCAGATGGGAGAGCTCTGCCCATCCATCCCTCAACCTTACCTCTTTTTGTCACTTTGCCTTTCAAACCAATCTTTTTAAAAAAAAAAAGATGGAAAAAATGTTTTAAATTCTGCAATATCATTGAATATTAAGGAATGCAGAAATATACAATTTACTTTTTATTTAAGAATTTTCAAATGTTTTCACCATGATAAAGGATAGAAATTTGAGGTGAAGAGTATGTTAATTAATTTTAGTTATTCTACATTGTATTAAAAATAATAGCCTCACTTTGTACACCAAATATACTCAGTTATAAATTTATCAGTTTATAATAAAATAAAAATACTGCAGTGAGATACCACTTCATGCCTATCAGGATGACCATGAAAAAGAGCAGGCATTTGGCTTTGTTGACACTGACATCCATGTCTGAGTGTCTGGCTTTGACTCCCAGCTCTAGCTCTTGACTCTAGTTTCCACTAGACGTGGATTCTGGAAGACAGCAGTAGTAGCTCACATAGTTGGGTTTCTGCCACTTGTTTGGGAGACCTGGACTGCACTTCTGGTCCCTGGCTTTGACCCTGCCTGGTGTAGGCCATGGCAAGTGTTTGGAGAGTGACCCAGTGGAAGGAGCTGACTTTCTCTATGTGTCTCAACAACAACAAAAATTAAAGCTTCTGAAGCACATTGTTAGGCTGAAGAATATGTCAACCAAAGACCTAAACTGCAAGGAGAAATAACCAAGGAGAGTTTCTCACATGGGCAAATAATAAATGAGAGTCTTTGAAGATGGAAAAGGGACTTGTAGAAACTGTAAAACTTGTAAAAAGGAAAAAAAAAAGGGGGGGACTTGTATCAGGACTGGAGCAGTGACTATTGGGCTGATCCTCCACCTGCAGGGCTGGCATCCCATAGCTGGTTCATGTCCTGCCTGCTCCACTTCCCATCCAGCCCCCTGCTTATAGCGTGGGAAAGCAGTAGAGGGTGGCCCAAAGCCTTGGGACCTGCACCTGCGTGGGAAGCCCCCAAGCAGCTACTAGCTCCCATCTTTGCCTGGCACAGCTTGGCAGATCTCTCCTCTCTCTCTCTCCCCCTTTCTGTAACTTGATTTTCAAGTGAAATAAATAAATCTTAAAAAAAAAAAATAAGAAAGAAACTGGTGTCAGCAAGAGATGCTGTGGGTTTATTCAGTGCACTTGGCTGCTGTTTGCAGGCTCAGTTGCAATTCCCACATCCAGGCTGTTCCCACCCTTCCTGTGTCCCCTGAGCTGAGCAGGCACTTCCTGTCCTGTTGGAAATGAAAGTTAGAGATTGGGAGTAGGATGTGTGTGTGTATTTACTCTGCAGCATGTTAGTACTGTCTGTTCCATTATCACAGCAAAAAGTGACCGGAAGACTAGAGGCCAGGACTTCATTTCAGGCAGTGTTTGGGCTGCATGTTTGTTGTGACAAAGCAGACAGCATTAATTGATGTCTCTGGAGAACACTTGCGAGGGCAGCAAGATGGCCTCGTGAAGGGGTCTGAAAGTTGCCACCCAGCACGCCTGTTCTGATTGGATTGGTACAGGGGACGGGGGTGTCCCTGGATTCTTTTCTCAACGTTTTCGGTTTAGCAGAAGGGTTTTTCACCTTACGTCAACTCCTGCAAAGACATTGCTTGGAGCTATTAAAGGTGAGTGTTATGGGAACTTTGCTAAGAAATGGTATCATTTTCTTCAGTGTGAAGCATTTGCTTTTTAAATAGTTACATACTTTTTTTGTTTTTGGCAGTTCAGAGACAACTTGAAGCAGATATCTCAGCTCTGTGAACTTCACTGTGGATACAGAATCCAGGTTTGGTGAGTTATGGGCACTGTGTCAGCTTCATGGATCTTAAACATCAGGGAAATGGTGGGATAGTCAAGTGAGGCAGTTCTCGGTTGTTGAAGGGACAAGCAGGTGCCACCTTCACAGCGTGGTAGTCGTCTAGATTGTGATGCCCTGTGAAGTGTCAACTCCTTCCCAGGGTAGCTGACGTCCAGTGGGGGACATTCACCCCTCTGTGTGGCCCCAGGGAAGTAGCTGTGAAGCTATGACACTGGTTCTTTCCCACGCTGCTGACTCTGGCTTGCTTGTCTGTGCTCCTGGGTGTGTTCCTGTGAGTGCTTTCATGATGCTTTCAGACTGCCGTAAGCCTGGAGTAGGGGGGCCCAGGGCTCCTCTCGGGCACCCTGGCTCCACACAGTGTCTCCTGCAACTCTAGGGCACTGTCTCAGGAGCCTCTTTAGAATCAAGCTAAAAATCTTCTCTGAGAGATTGAGGGGGAGGAGATTTCCCTGTCATTTCAAGAGAGTGAGAACTTGTTCATAGAGGAAAGGAAATGAATTTGAAAGGGGTTCCAAGGAAGAAGGCTGCTTCATAGTGTTAAATACTGAGCCTGTGGAAAAGAAATGCAAAAAAAAAAAAAAATTAAATTAAAAAATAAAATAACATCGTGGGCATTAGGACCCAGTGGAAGTACCTCATTGAGACTCTAGGTTAACTTCTCCCAGTGACGTAGAGAAGCAGCCCTAGCTCATTCTCCACCCGCAGGCGTGCCCCTCCACCCCCATCTCTCCCTCCTGCTCTTTTCTCCCCCTTTCTCCTCCCCCTTCCTCCTCCCCCTCCCTCCCTCCTTCCTTCCCTCCCTCCCTCTTTCCCTCTCCCCGGGGGCCCCCCCACCCCTCCCTCGCCTTCTCCCTCTTCTCTGTCTCAGCTCTCTAACATTAAAGAGAAAATGCTGCTATCAGTGACTGCTAGGCCTGGGATTTCGACTTTTGGCTATAACAAGAACAACAAGAAGGTAGGGAAAAGCGCTTTTTTGGACTCTGGCTACTTCCTTTCCTGGGGATCTGGGAGTGCCCTTGGTCTTACCGTTCTGCTCCAAGAAAAGAACCGGATTCTCACTCTGTCTCAGTGCCTCTCCCTCCTGCCCCACTTCTTGTGGTGCCTTTTCTCACCTGGTTCTGGACTGACTGGAGTTTACCCTGGGTTTGTGAGGCCTGAGAAGAGATGAGGATGAAAAACAAGTGTAGTTTGCAAGTTTGTTTCCTTGTGAGATGAAGTTAGTTGTTGGACTTTTCTGCTGATGATGTCCTCATCTCCAGAGGAATAATTTGTCATCTCTGACCCTGTCCCCATTCCACACCTCCCTCACACAAGGTTTTTTTGTTTGTTTAAATTTTTTTTATTAGTATACCATTCCCCTCCACTCCACCCTCCCCCAGCACCAGCATTATCAGATAGCTGAGATCACAGATTGGTGAGTGAAATCACAAAAGCTCACCCAGTCGGGCACGCTCTCCAAAACTGGAGCCCCTACACCATCTAGCCTGTAGAGGAGCCGCCTTCCGAGACACATACCTTGGGATTACAGCAGAAAGGTCTTGGGCTCTCTCCCGTCTTATTCTTGAGCTGATCCTGGAGGCTCTGCAGATAGCCAGGCTCAGCGGGGCTCTTGGAGTCTTATGATTAATCCATGGCTGCTAGTCAGCTGTGCTGCTATGCACATGGGCAGGCTGGGAGGGATGGACAGTTTTGCCCACGTCCACCTCGGAGTTTCCTTGGCAGTGCCTTGGCATCCCAGGGTGCATGGTGCTGCAGCAGGAGGACCCCCGTTAGCCTCTCTCTCAGCATTGTAGCTGTTCTTGAAAGACAAAAAAAAAAGTGCCATAAACATTTAGGAATCTCTTGCCCATTTAAAGGAATGTTGGAAAGTAGGGAAGATTCCTGCAACTCTCTTACTAACCTAAAGAGACTACTTACTTCAGGTCGATCTAAGCACAGTGGCTGGTCAAGGCAGTGGATGGCTGTTTAGACCCAGGGCACTTAGTTTGTGAGTGTATGTTTGTTGTTCGTCCTGCTTATATCCTTAATAAATATGGGTCTGTACAAACTTGATTATCGGTGTATATATGTATGTTCATGTGCCCCTATCAAATGTGTGTGTGTGTATATATATATACACATGCACATATAATACTTTATTTACATATATAGATATCTGAAAGGGGAATGTTTTCATCTGTCTATATAAATCTATAACTTTAATGGCTGTGTCTATAAATCTTTATACTTTAGAAAAGTTTCCTTCTTGAATTTTTTTTCCCTCCAAGTTTTCGAGGTTATCCTTAACCCGTTAAAATAAAATTGGGTTTTCTAAATTATTTTTTTCTAATGGCGATTTTATATATTTGAATGCTTCTAAAACTCTTCTCTCAGCTTTTGACTCCCTTTCTGTCTTTGCAATATAGGAAGCATTTAACCAGCTCCTAAATCTGATATAGTCTAGGAGACAAGAAGATAGGTTACAAGCTTGGGTTCAAATCTCAGAACCCTTCCTGACACTGTGTGACATTTGGGAAGTGATTCAGAAAACATAACTGATTCTGATGTACCTGTCAGGAATTGTTAGGGTTTTTAGGTCATTGTGATGGTAGCTGGGATTCAGTGTGTGTGATTCAATGTGTGTGCTTTCCTGGGAGACTGTGTGTGTGAGTGACTAGGTGCTTGGGAACTTTGACATGTGTTTAGCTGAAGTGTTCCTGCAATGCTGTTTATTTTGTTGCTGACATGAAGTGTTTAGTACCTTTGTTTCCCTGGGGGAGGGTGTTTTGCATGCATGTGCTCATGGCATTTGTATATTTTAATACCCAAAGTTAAATTTTTAAAAGAATTTTAATTTTTCTGGTAATAAACTTAAGACATATTCACTTTTTTTTAAAAACTAGGCATCCTGAAATATATAACATAGACTTACCTTTGTTAGTCATGCCTACTCTCAAAAAAAGAAAAAAAAAAAAAACTCTGGGAGCAGTTTGGTATATGTACCTTTCCAGACTTTTTTAGGACAGAATCTCAATTTTGACATTGGCTTATTTGCCATTTCTGTTAGGTTATCAGCTTCTCAGGTAGGACAAATCTGTGTAATAAAGTTCTTAGAGCTGTCCAGAATGCCTTTTTTAAATCTTTTTATTTTTTAAGTATTTATTGATTGATTACTTTTTCTTGGAAAGGCAAATTTAGAGAGAGAAGGAGAGACAGAATGATCTTCCATCCAGTGGTTCACTCCCCAAATGGCCACAAAGGCCAGAAGTAGGCTAGCCTAAAGCCAGGAGCCAGGAACTTGTTCTGGGACTCCCACACAGGTGCATGTTCACAAGGGCTTGGACCATCTTCTGCTGCTTTCCCAGGCCATAAGCAGGTAGCTGGATGGGGAGTAGAGCAGCTAGGACATGAACTGGCATTCATATGGAATGCTGGCCTGTTGAGCCACAATGCCGGCCCCTAAACTTCTTAAAAACACGAATTATAAATTTCTCTTGCTTTCTTTGTCTAGAGCGCAGATAACAACATGATTTACTTTTGACTGTAGTCATCACCTCTGTTTTATGGATAAAAAAAATATTAGCTAATGTCCTTAATTTGAAAAACTGTTCACCATCACTATGATATGCTTATTTTCAAGTGTGTTACTTTTAATTGATTTTTAAAGTAGGATTGTTTTATTTTGAAATGTACTCGCACATTTCACTTATCAAGAGAATTGTTTTTGAGAAACTTCTGACCATCATAGTTTTCTTACTCTTTGTTTTGGCTGGTGGTATACACAGGAACACAGTCAACAAATGTATAATGCCCAACAAAGGCAGATCCCTTCTCACGATGCCGTGTTACATGCTCATTCGTTTCTTTGGAATTAGCACAGTTACATCAGGGGACAATGTGGATTCCAAAAAGGGGATTCTGTGAGATAACTTAATGTAGTGATATTCAATGACTCATTGGAGACAAGGCTGAAGTCAAAAGATCAGTGTTAAGGTGTCAGCACTGTTTCTTCAATATCTGAAGGAGTCACCTCAGCAGAGGGATTTGAATATAGGTGAGATTGAAAGAGGAAATGTTTGGGACTAAAGGAATTTCATACTTGTAAAGGGCCTAACCACCCCTTCTCTGACATCATCTCCCTGGCATGTGTTATTATAATTTAACTCCTCATAGCATCAACAGCCATTTCCTTTGGGGAAAAAAGGTGTAGGGGGCTGCATTTAACTTGGGATAATTTGCCTTTTTCACGTATCTTGTGTAAAGTTGTTCTTGATGTTAGCACATTGAAGATTGATGGGGGAGGTTGGAGGCAGTGAGGAAAGTCAGACTGACTGGTGGGTCTAACTAGATCTTTGCTTTTTGGGCAGCTTGAGTTACCAGAGTGCCACAAGTATTTCCTCAGAGGAGAAAGTAGAAAGCAGCATTATATCCACTTGTAATTTTGACAGGGAGAAAGGATTTTCTCTGTGTGTGTATGTTTACTACATTTCTATCTAGTTTACATCCAGAGAAATTTAATACAACTGTGAACTTCTGGGCCTCACATCTCTTGAATGGGGCAGCTGTTATCTCTGTTACCAGCAATAACTGAGATGGTTCAATTTTAGTGGTACTGTCTTTTCATTAATCACTCCCTTCTACTTTGAGCACTGCTAGCTTAATTTATGCCCTCATTACCCACTGTCTTTACTACTATGATGAACATGCCTTGTGATCTCTCTGCCTCTCATTATGTTCCTACTCCCTGCTCTTTTACCTCCAGTTAAATTTATGCTTACTGCCAGGACATTTTTCTAATAGTTCATATCTAGTGCTAAGTGTTTATTTATTTTTAAGATGTTTATTTATTTGAAAGGCAGAGTTACAGAGAAAGAGAGGGAGAGACATAGATCTTCCATCTGCTGATTTACTCCTCAAATAGCCACAATGACTAGGACTGGACTAGGCCAAACCAGGAACTTCTTCCAGGTCTCCCGTGTGGGTGGCAGAGGCCTAAGCACTTGGACTATCTTCTACTGCCTTCCCAGGTCATTAACAGGGAGCTGGATTTGAAGTGAAGCTGCCAGACATGAACCAGGACCCATGTGGGGTATGCCTGACATGAATGGGTTGCCAACATCGCAGGTCGTGGCTTAATTCACTAGGCCACAACACTGGTCCCTAAGGATTTATTCCATAAATAACCTTAATAGCTATGTATGACCCACTGAAAAACAAATTTTTAATTCTTTTTTCTAGTACCTACTATCTATTTAGGCTCTGCTTGTTTCACAACTCAGTCCTTCCTCTCCTTAGTTGTCTTGCATGTCCTCAGCTAAGCTGACAGTGTTACTGCAGTTCTCTGGATATCCTCTTTCATTATTGCCTTACGCTTCTCAGACTGTAAAAAATGTTCAGTAAAACAGAAATGTAGACAAGAAATAGTAAATAGTACAAGGTAAAGATAGAATAGAATAAGAGGTCAATTAGAATGAAAATTCAAGTGTGCAAACCCTAAATTATATGCTAGGCGATAAGGACTAGAGTAGCTATTGAATTTGTTAGTGAACAGGTGGCTGATAATTTTGACAAGCCATACCAGAGGCATAGGGGGCCAAGGTAATACTGGAATGAGTCGATAAGTGAAAGAAGACTAAGAAATATAGATAATGTGTATACATTAACTGTCTTTTTCTTTTTTAGGATTTATTGTATTTTTATTTAAAAGGCATAGTTAGAACAAAGGAGAGAGAGGGCTTCCATGTTCTGTTTCATTCCCCAGTGGCCACAACAGTTGGATCTGAGCTGATCCAAAGCCAAGAGCCAATAGCTTCTTCCAGGTCTCCCACATCGGTGCTGGGACCCAAAGAATTGGCCCATCCTCCACTGGTTTTCCAGGCTGTAAGCAGGGAGAAGGTTGGGAAGTGGAGCGGCTGGGGCTCAAACAGGTGCCCGTATGGGATGCCAGCATCAGCATCACAAGCAGTGGCTTTACTT